CCCTAATCTAACTATTTCATCTTATTCTCCAGTTATTCCGTTGGTCACGAGTGGGTCGATCTCCTGAGGTGATGGTTTGAAGCTTCTAAGCAACATGTACACCCACATCAAAAAACCCACTGGTGAATATAAAAACTGTGCTGAAATTAAAAAACGGTCAAATCTGAACTGCTGAAATCACACTTAATGGCATATGACGCTAACCGGTGATGCCGTCAGCATGCACGCAAAAATAACTAGGAATGACGAAAGGGATGACTAGCTCACCAGAAAGAAAGAATACAATTGCCCAAATGATGAATCAAATCAGTAGTGGTCAGCGTGCTTTTAAACCACGCCAATACATGACCAGATGGGGCGTGGAGGTACGGGTGTAACATCTCTAGAGTCTACCCCGCATAGAAACAGGTCCCCCGAAAGACGGTTTCACGAATGACCATATTACTTTACTTGTTTCCCTTACCCTACCTCCTTCTGCACTGAATCTGTTGTACTCCTGGTTCCTAATTACTTCACCTCCGCCGCCCTACTGTCTTACCGATATTTCCCATTAACTTATTACTTATACTAAAGCCTCACTTTTAGCTGTGGTGCATTTCCTCTATATCTCTCCACTAAGAATCAGATAACTATAGCACACTTTCCTAATCACCCTGCCTTTGGCTTCTTCTACAAGACTACGAGCCACGGAATAATTCTTGACTGCAGTGAATAGGCGCTTATTTATTTGTCTATTTATCCGTTTAATTCTCCCTTTTCAACATTAACTTTACCGTGCGTAGTCACGCATGCCCTAAATATCCACCTACAAGTGAAGGCTGAATGGAATGTAACTGAGCTCACCCAGCATCTGAAACATCCGGCAGCCCAAAACACAAGTTGATTAGTTCAACACCACAATTAGACCAAGTAATGTATATATACTACGCTATGTCTTATATCCCTACGATGTGAGTACTGCCTATATTATTCTGCTCAAGCAACTTGATTTGATAATCCACTGGAGGTACCTTAATACAGTCTTTTCCTTATTTTCTCAACTCTCTCACCTGCTACTTACAAATAGCTCCAAATGCATTACTCCAGTGTTCTAAGTACGATTGTTTGTTACTCATCTGATTTGGATTGGTGAAGCTAACTGTTTCATCCTTTTCATACTCCCTCCCGCCGCATCAAACCGCCGCCATCATGGTACCACCAACCTGCACCGAAAACAACGAAATGAGAATGTCCGCGAACTGGTAGCATACGGCGACAAAAGTCCCAAATGAAAATATTCGCGAAAACATCTCTATTGTAATCTTTTAAAATGTCAAACCACTGACTGTCTCGCACACTTGAGCATGTTGCAATGTAAATATGATCTGTCCCTTTGTGGGCTCGGTTTCTCGGTACCACGAGAAATATGCCTTATTAGCATAAGTTTACTGGCGTATATATCTCGTATTTCAAGCGTTCAATAACGCGCATATGCGTGTTCTTTACGGGTGACGTGAATACTCGCTTCGGCTGCCTTCTATGGCCAGAAGATCGGTTACAGTGTCGTTTCGGGGTCGGTGGTTGCTTCTCAAAAACTTCGGTTGATTTCAGCAACACAGCCTTTCGATTTCGATGATCTTGGTATGGGGGGATGGACTGAAGAACTTTTGCCATCAACCGAGCCACCTCAGTTACTTCAGACCGTCATCGGCTTTAGATGGTACGCGTGTGTGCTAGATTGTCGGTCGGTCCCGAGGCGGTTGCATCGGCTCTAATGAATAGGAATAAAACAGAGGTTTGCAACCACCTGTGGAGCGTGCAAGACTGTCTAGAATCATGTAAATGGTACCATATAGACCGGAAATCAACCATTCCACCGAGAACCTATGTGCTGTCGAAGCTACATAAGCCAACGTTCTCATTATGCTTATTGTGGATAACATGGAGTGTCCGACCTACGAACGTCCAGATACTTGGCAGGGTTGTTGAGACCTATAACCTGGAAAGCAACTACGTTCGTGAAGCACTCTTATGATTTCGCTCGAAAAGTAGCACATCTGGCTATCGAGTCAGATGATGTAATGGTCCGCTTCGATGTTGGCTCACTATTTACAAGCGTGCCCAGAGGTGACGCACTGGGGCTAGCACTGCGCTGTCCCACTGAGGACAGTAGCTTAGACGAGAGAACGAAATTCTCAATGAACCAAATAATCGGAGGAATGAAAGTATGCCTTAATGTGTCATATTTCATGCTCCGGTCGAAGCTGCACGCCCAGGAAAAGGGCCTTGCCATGAGGTCGTAAATATCCCTCGTGTTAGCAAGTTTGTAAATAGAAGAGTTTGTAAGCAAGGCGTTGACAAACCCCTAGTTGTTCCCCAAAGCTTTGTTGTCGCTACGTAGGTAATACTTTTGCCATCATTAAGCCAGATAAGAAGTTTACAACTTTTTACACTCACATAATGATAACATAAAGGTCTCCATGGAATTAGAATCTTGTATTGGTACACTGCCATTCCTTGACTGAGTAGTTCACAGAAAAGGAGAACGTCTATGAACAACGAGATATCACTAACCAACCTGTACGGATGAAGTAGTCCAGTATAGTTCAGGTACTCTAATGCGCATGTGTGCTGCGATCGTATCCTCCCTTTTTCACAGGGCCCAAACTCTGTGCATAGAAGACAAGGACGGGAGGACCGCTCGGAAGCAGGCACTAAAGTACCTGATCGATAGTGGATATCAGAGGCGATTGGTGCAGCGTCAGTTACAGTGATCCCTTAACCCGGATTCACGACGTACGGTGGAGAGGATTGTCACGGTTAGAATCCCTTATAAAGAGGGCACTTCTGAAAAGATCAGGTGGGTTCTAAACAAGGAGAAGATAAGGGTGCTTTACCAGTGAGAACAAACGCTCGGTTCCACACTGGTGGTTTTGAAATATCCACTTCCGAGACATACGCCGACCAATTGCGTTTATAAAATTTCTTACAGTGACTGTGCGCACATGTACACAAGCCAAACAGCAAGAGAACTGCAGAACACAAGAGGCACGTTTCGCGTCTATCAAGAAACAAGCCTGAATACAATAAATTACTAAAGCATTCGGCGGTGGCGGTACACGCGCAGGCTTCGGGATAATGTAGAGATCGTTAGGAGAGGAGTAAGGAGGACAAGCCAAAGATTAATTGCTGAAGCGCTAGAATTTGCCAAGGCAAACTACTACGTGAACAGATTAGACGGGGTGGAAATATCAACTGCAGGACGGGCTGTCTTAACCTGGTCGGTCTGAAAAGCGTCGGCGGAAGGACTCAGGTCGGAGCGAAAAAAACGTTGAACTATCGACACTAGAAAAAGTAGCAACAAGAACAAAGATGTTCAACCTGTGAATGGCCTGCTACATAGATCAATTTGAGATCGCTCCAAGCTCATTGTATCTTTCGACCCTCTGAAACTGCAGCCACAGTTATCCACCGACACCAGTTAAATCTCGCAATCATCATCCCAGGTTGGTAGAAAAAAATCCAAGCCAATTCTTACTAGTTCACTTGGCGTGATGAAGTGCTTGTACCAATGGCGAAACGTAGCTGTAATAAACGCCTTAAAACAACCGATTTGTGCTTTGAAACCTTACGAACTTATGGACTCCAACGCGTTTTGATAGGGCATGTGAAGCATACTGTTAACTTGTCTTGAAACATTCGAATGAGGACAGATTTCAGATGCTTCAGTTCGTTTGAAAGAAGTACTGCTGTTGGTTTCCTTTGGATGTTAGCTTCGACTTCCTTAAAATGTACATTTGGACTCGATGTCTCAGGATCAAACTTATGTCAGTATGGGGTAAGCACCAGGCAGGCGAATAATGCCAGCTTACTGGAATATATCCGAGTATTGTTAAAACTTTCCTGCGTATTCGCCCAGAGAAGTCTGCATCGAGTGATACACTGGTCGGTGACAATGATCGATTGAATCACTGTCCATCCTGCCTACCTGCACTTTAGACCGAACAACTCGAAGAATACTACAGACTGCCCATTCAATCGGAAAAGTCAATTAAGTAATCCAGACTCATCTGGACTGTCGATTCAACAAACCTCACCTGCACTGAAATCAGACACGTACTTGTGCCACTAAAATTGTACGAGACAGCTTTGTTGGACGACTTTTCCCATCGTTGTTGAAAACAGCAGCACCTCTCTCGTGGCTGATGCAGCTACTGCGTTCGTTACTATTTTCACAAGCGGCTATCTGCCATCCTGTTGGGGTCATTAGGATGTCATTTAAAATCTCTAACCCTTTAGCCACCGAGTTACGACGCACATCGCTTGTCATAACGGTTGAAGTGTGATTACTTCGAAAGGACATACCAAACAGTCATGAACATTTGTGACAGGCGTTGCCTGTCCTGACTCGGTGGCCGAAAGGGTGGAGGTTTCAAATAACATACCAATGGCCCCGCGTTCGATGGCTGCTCTTTCTCCACCTGATGAGAACAAGTAAGTTCTAAAGCGATTGGGGATTCAGTGTGTTCGGGCAGGCAACACCCAATTTACATCCGCTTCATCAGTCACAGTCCTGATGATCGAATTGACCGCCGTTCAGTCAATTCGATTCGCAGTCAACAGTGAGGTTGCATTTCGCGATACATTCATACAACTTATACTTCAAGATTGCCTACCAATAAGTAGAGAGTTGCTCACTGACAACTGCCAGTACTGTTAGATTGCATCATATCGTATTTTGCGTAGTAAGCGCTCTTCGAATATTGCACACCGAAATTCTTTAAAACTATCAGCCATCCGAAGATTGTCCATTAGGTGTGCTTCGGACAAGCGCATAGTTATGCGAGAGTATGACTACAAGAACTTCACCTCATGCAAGTCTTAACTAGTCTGTGCAGTGTCAATTCGGATAGCTGACAACTTTCACATTTGCCTAAATTATAGGCTTTGGAGTCTCATGCACGAGCCAGCCAGTTACGGTTCGGACAATTCACCTTCTTCTTCTTTCACTCATTGCTCAGGTTCATCACCATCCTGCTGTCAAAGTCAGAAGCTCACGTTCGCGCTGTCGTTAACACATATGAAAAGTACAGCAATAAAGACTTTGAAGACGTGCTGAAGTCGGAAATGAGCGGTGACCTGCTCCGTACATTTTTGGCCGTCGGTGAGTGTTAGACGTAGCATGCGTGTGGATTTCAAGGATTTACAAAAATATTCAACCATATTTATCAAGACAGTAAAATGATTGTTTTGCTTTATGCTACACTCAACCCTACAGGCAGTCCACTGATCTCCCAAGTTAGTCATACACAAATTCAGTCTACTAAATCTTCACTGATGTCTCTATAATGACATTTTCAGTTCGGTTGTCTTGAATGAGTGCATAAGCAAAAGACGCCTATAGAAAGTAGTGTACTATAATCAGCGACCTCGGTCTTTGTAGCATAGTTTTGTAGTGTAGTCGGAAAGCGTTGCAGCGCGCTTACTAGGCACTGTACGCATACTGAAGTGGGAACTCATTTTGCCCGTCAGAAGGAACAATCCGTTACTCTACTACAAAGTATTGTTTTCTCGATTGAAGAAGCGTTAGAGCAGTGGCAGGAACCGGCGCCAAATCCGCTGTGGCATTAAAGCGCGTGCTGATGCACCGTGAGATGTACGCATGGCGTACTGCACTGGTTGCGACCGTGGACACGAAAAACTGTCATTTCCCCTGCGCAACTTCCATTTACGGCGGCGTAGTTTCTTTAAGCCTCCGTTTGATTGCCACTGCTTCTAGCGACGGCATACAAGTGAACTGGATGCGAACTCGACTCTAGCCATCAACGCCCGAAGCCCATCGCGAAAGTACACTCGGCTAAATGTTCAATGGCACTTTAACGGATTCACTCAACATGATGCATTGGTAAACATGAGATATAAAGTCTGCCTTACGTCTAGTCCTCTATCAGCTAACCGTGGTCCACACATCACCCAAATATATGTGGGATTACGGAAGGTTAGTGACCACTGTTTGACCACGGGCGGAAAAACCATTTTCATTCAAAAAGGCTCCGAGAGTACCTGTGAATATGACCGCGAATTCGAATGTATTAAAAATACGAACCTATGTTATTTCTCTAACTGAGCGCCAATCCGGCCATACACATTTCATTGATTAGTGTGACAATACACTCCCAACATTCATGGATCGAAGAAAAGAAACGTCACCTTTCCTGTATATCGAGCCATGAAAGGCACACGACAGGAGGTGCTGATGCGTTTCATGGTCTACAGTGCTGTGAACTTCGCGGACTGCAAGTTCGTTTAAGGTCAATGTGGTTGCTTCCGAGTATGACCCAGGTAGAGGCTATGTCAAGAATTTTGATTTTCTAAGGACTGTCAATAGGTCTACATCAGTACTTGATCCTAGTAGTCCTATTGGCAAACGCGCACGATACGGCCGAATCAAAGCGGTCATGTACCTCAACAGGTGAAACGGAACCAAATATCGTAAGGTAATAAGAGCCGGATTTTCTCCCGCACTGTACTGAGGACACAGAAAATACTAACGGAAGTGACCTTGCCAAATCTCGCAGCTAGCCGATGAGAAAACATGTTATAATGGTTCCAAAGCCATAAGCTTTTTACTACCTAGGCCAACATGTCGAAGAATCAATGCATATATATATATATGTATATATGTATATATATATATATCCTTATGCATTAATCGAGCTTTTCTCTTTTTCTTTCTCTCCCTCTCTCTCAAGTATTTGGCTGTTGTTTGATATCCCCGGTGTGGATGCGCTTGATGTGCATGTTGACAAGGTGCCTACCTGTCTATTACCCACTACCTCGTCCATACTAGCTCCAGGAGACAGTTGGTCGTTGCTGGAGGGGACAGGGTGCACAGTCCTTGTGGCGGTGTTAGGATCAAAGAGTGCTTCCATGCACTCAGTGTGGAGAGAACTATGGTCCGGCCATCGCCTTGTGTGCGCTTGATTCCCAAATACAGCGTGCTTGTGTTTGCTTGTGAAGGAGTGTTGGCCGGCTCCGTTGATGAATCGTCGCTCCCATCGGCATGCCTCCCGGTCTTATTCCTTCGGGTTTATACTGGATATGGATGTGTGGTTGGAGCTGTGGGTGGTGCAGCGCAAATCACCCATGATCCCGCTGTAGGCGTCCCGTAGATGACCACAGTGACAGAAAACTCCGGCACTGGATGCCGTCATCCGTATATATATATATATATATATATATATATATATATATATATATATATATATATATATATATATATATATATATATATATATATATATATATATATATATATATATATATATACGGATGACGGCATCCAGTGCCGGAGTTTTCTGTCACTGTGGTCATCTACGGGACGCCTACAGCGGGATCATGGGTGATTTGCGCTGCACCACCCACAGCTCCAACCACACATCCATATCCAGTATAAACCCGAAGGAATAAGACCGGGAGGCATGCCGATGGGAGCGACGTTTCATCAACGGAGCCGGCCCACACTCCTTCACAGGAAAAAACATGCTCGCTGTATTTGGGAATCAAGCGCACACAAGGCGGTTGCTGGACCGTAGTCCGCTCCACACTGAGTGCATGGAAGCACTCTTCGAACCCAGCACGGCAACGGGGACCGTGCATGCCGTCCCCTCCAGCAAAGACCAACTGTCTCCTAGAGCCAGTATGGGGGAGTGGTAGTGGGTAACAGACAGGTAGGCACCTTGTCAGCGTGCACTTCAAGTGCAGCCACACCGGAGATGTCAAGCAACAGACAATCACATGAAATGGAATGTCGAATAAAAAAGATCGTACACTCCGTACGGAAATGATGCCAAATTAACAAATGAAATAAATTGATTATCAAAATAGCCGTGATAGATTAAAATGGAGAAAAAGGGATCGGGACACATATGTGAGATGGACAAAATAGTAAGCGAAGTTAGCCACCTTTGGTTTAAGCGAAATATGCAATTTAATAGATTATTCGGTTACCCATTAAAATGAGGTAACAAAATAACACCAAGACAAGGTAGCGAACCATCCACCTGAAATAAAGTAACTCAGCAAGCAAGCACGCGGTTAGTCAACCGGATGCAGCGTACCTACCAACGCTGCACCTGTTCTCCTCACGTTCTCAGCAGGACTGGTCGTTGTTTCGATGTTGGTACTGAGTGGACTCCCTCGTGGCTCACTAGGCCTGCCTGACTCAGGCACTGGCGACCGCACATGCTACAGCACCATGCGCTCGACGTCGATGGAGTACAGCCCCTCGGCGCCTGCCGCTTCCGCACTTGCCACGTCTTCTCTGCATGCACGAGAGCTTTGTCTTCCCCATCGGCAGCTGCCATCATAACTAGACCGCGCCAGCAGCATCCATCAACCGTCTTCGATTCGCATGACCTGCAATCAAAATTGGTAGATGATAGGCTCACTTTGATCATGTCCTGGTAAAGTAACCTCGGTTTTCCCATGTGCCGTTTACCTCCACTTAGTTGGTCATACACATACTGGAGGTGAAACAGTGGAACGATATCTGGGGTTTGATCGCCAGGGAAATCTCTTACAGGCACTTGTGTTTATCCATGGTTGATGGGTTATGTAAGATGGTGCAGCGAAATGAACGCATCGTCAACTGGGACTTGGAACTCTGCCAGCGTGGGAGCACGTAAGACAGGTTCCGGTAGGGCATTCTAAGTTCTGCAAACGCGTGCGGAATAGAAATTCCGAAGGTATTCCTAACACTTCGTGGGTCTGCCAGCTTGAGACCGTGGACTCAACCTGCTCTTGTGACTGAGTTCTAGCAAGTAGCGGCACGTGTGGTTGGGATCTCTCAAAATCTGGTAAGTCAAAATGAGATCCCGCGCAATCGCCGATACTATCCACTGAAGACACCGATCAGTTATAGGCTTCGTTAAATATATATATATATATATATATATGTATATAAATTGTATATTCCTCGACGATGCGAGAAGCTGTTCCAATGTAGGAACTGATCAAATAATGGTACAAACTTTCCGTAACATTGCACTAATACATTTTCAGAAATAAACATGGGCGCAATTGCAAGTTAGATAACACAGAGTAATCAGAATCGTTCTGCTATTTTTTCCTGCCATTGAATCAGGATTCTTCACAATCACATGACAGATGTTTGGGCTGAGAAAAAATGTGATGAAAGGGGCTTTCGTCCGAAATGTTTTGTGTTTGGAAAATTTATTTACGCACCGTGAATACCGTTTTCGAATACGTTATCTAGTGAATGTGGTGTCCCGAACATATTAATCACGTTTTGGACGGTTAAATGCTTAATAATCGAAAACTTAAAATCGCAGTGTATAGCATGTTCTGATATCATTCAGAAGTTTGTTCCAAATCTTTGAGTATTGGGTTAGAAAGGAACGTTCTCTGATTCTCGTATTAAATTTCGGAATCATGACATTTCCCTCTTTGTTACGTATTGGATATCTGTTGTTTAAAAATATGTGAACGCTATTATCAACGTCGCAGTGCTTGTTCCCGTGCGGTCGCACTTTAACTCGGCTCTCGCTTTGCCCTCTGTGGCCACTCTAATTCTCCCCACACAACATTGTGCGCTCGTTCGAACCAGTTCGACAAGCTCTACTCAGTGTTTCCCGACTCTTGGATCCAACCTGTGTGGATTATACTCTTGAACAATGAACAATGATTTATCACGAGATAAAAGCAAGTGCTTGACATGTCCCGTAGGATGGTAGCGGTGAATATGATGCAATTAAAATATGTCTGGGTCATCTATCGAACGTCTGCCGAGATGAATACTTTGATAGTTAACATCAGTGTGAAATGAAAAAGAAATATTGCGCGTAAACATTCAGAAAGACAGTGGGGCGCTGTGATAGTTGACGTAAGGAGTGAGAAAATAAAATATGGTTGCTCACTTAGGTCCATTTGATACATTAGTCCTGTTGAAAACATGCTTGGCGTAATCCACAACAGAGGAGCTTAGGTAACAAAATGTTGGGAGCTGAGGGCAACATCTAATCGTTTTTTGAAAACATCCAGGGTAGGAGAGGATACAACTGAGTCTGGGAGTGCGTTCCATGGTTTGCAAACTCGAAGGGAAAAGTAATTCCGTCGACACTCTAGACGGCTATATTGTTCCTT